TCCACTTGTCCATCCTTGCATTATTCTCTGAGGATCACATGATTGACACCAATCTTTAGAAGTATTATATCGATTGCAATTTGCACATTTTTCATTCCAAACAGATCTTTTAGAACCAAATTATCAAATACTAACATATACTCATTTGTTGCGGTGTTTTGAGTTAGTCCATATACTTTAAGCTTATTATTCTTTATTAATCAATTGAAAGTGATGTCACCTATACTGCAAGAGACTCCATTAGTTTATTAAATATTTAACTTCTTTTAACATATCTAATAAATTTTGTGGTCTAGTTAATATTTTAAGCTCCACTTTAGATGATAGTATACGTGACTGTTTGTCAATTTTAAATATATCAATATATCGTATTCCATCTAACCAAGTTGCTAAAAGTTTATCATCAATATTTTGAACATTAACTAGTCTATTAAAAGGAATCCATTCGTATTTCATAGTTTTAAGTTGAAATTCTTTAATGCAATTATTGATATCCTTATTTCCACTTGTCCATCCTTGTGTTGTCTTCTGAGGGTCACATGTTTGACACCAAACGTAAGATGTATTATATCGCTTACAGTTTGCACATATTCCATTATTTGTATTTCTTTTAGAACTATATTCATCAAATACTACATATATTCGTTTGTGATTGTGTTTTGAGTTAATCCATAGACATTTTATCCTCACAACTTGCATATGATTTTTAAACGTATAAGATGTAAGTAAAATTTATGTTATGCAAACGTACCATATAGTTCCGAAAACAAGCACCATTTTTTTGCATGTAATGCTGGCCAAAATAATTATAACGCAGGCCAAAATCGGTATAGTGCAGGCCAGGGGAGTTTATTTTCTGGTGGTGCTTATTTTCGGAACTGTACGGTAATCAATAAGTAAATAAAATAGTCTTACTTCTTTTAACATATTTAATAAATTTTATGAACTAGTCAATATTTTAAGCTCCACTTTATACGATGGTATACGTGACCGTGTATATTTATATTCATCATTTTCATCTATATACATAGTTATTTACATAATGTATTCCATTTAACAAAGTTGCTAAAAATTTATCATCAATGTTTTGAATATTAACTAACCTATTAAAAGGAACCCATTCGATTACTTCATCATATTTTGTAGCCTTAAGTTGAAATTCTTTAAGAAATCATCGACTTTCTTATTTCCACTCGTCCATCCTTGTGTTGTCTTCTGTTTGACACCAAGCGAAAGTTGTGTTATATCGCTTGCAATTTACACATTTTCCATAATTATAATTTCTTTCAGAACTAAATTCATCAAATACTCTTCTGTTGCAGTGTTTTGAGTTAATCCATAGACGCCTTTAATCTTTAATTGATTCTCTAATTGCACATGATTTTTAAACTTATAAAATATAAATACAAAGTAAATATACACACTGTTAATTAAATAAATTACACATAGTAAACATATAAACTACGTTTAAAATATTTTGAATATTTGGTGAACTAGTCAATATTTTAAGTGTAATCATGCATGCCGGGGTGTACGTGACTGTGTATTTCATATTTATTATTTTCATTTTTATATTCATTTAAATATCGTATTCCATCTAACCAGGTTGCTAAAAATCTATCACCAATACTTTGAATATTATTTAATCTATTAAAAGGAATCCACTCAATTACATCTTCATAAGACATTGCCTTAAGTTGAAATTCTTTAATACAATCATCGACATCCTTATTTCCACTTGTCCATCCTTGTATTGTCTTCCAAGGTTGACATGTTTTACACCAAGCTAATGTGATATACCGGTCGCAATTTGCACATTTTCCATCGCTTGTATTTCTTTTAGAACCAAACTCATCGATCATAATTCTGTAATTCTAATTTAATCAGTCATGCGACATATATAGGTATAACAAATTATGTGGTACAAATATTAACATATATTTCTTACAGTTTAAATATAAAGCCTGGTCACATTTTATTCTTTCATGAATAAACACTCAATAATTTCGGAAAAGTGTTACTAAGAAAATATGGTAAATATAATTACTAGTAATCTTAAGTATTCAATATAAAATATCTATAAAATATTACGTATATGATTTATGTTCCCCCATCGAAATAACTGTTATAAATGAATTGATTGTTGCAAAAGCTCAAACACCCAGAAATTTGTTAAAAAAATTCATTGCTTTTGTGATCCTGGATAAGATCTGTAGATTAGTGCATCTTCTTTTCTGAATTTACTCTTATTCATTGAGGAGAGAAATCGAAGACTAATAATTAGCAAGGTACTATTTGTTCGATCATCACAACTCAAATTATTAAGTGGCGCAGATTTGATGCGACTAGATGATCTTTGATTTAATTGGTCAATAATCATGTTTAATTCGATACCGATGCCAATCACAAGAATTTACACTTATGAAGCTTGAACAAATTTCTGCATATTGCAACAAATACCCGCAGGAAGCATCCAATCTTTCACAAGTATATCTTGACTTAACCACAGGTAATAATATTATTAAATAAACAATAAAATTCAGTTTAGTCCATTGCAGATAATTAAATCATATTTATAAAGTCAAATCATGGGCTGAAGTAAAAGTTGAAGACATTGAATCTTTACAAAGATGTGTTTTGCTGGGGAGAACTTCAAAAGTAAGAATAAATGAATTGTATAAAACATTAAATAATGACAAAACTTAATAGAGTAACATTTAAAATACAGTCGAATGCTCAGATGATAATCATAGTACCTTGTGCATCAACTGAAATTTGGACACCTAAAAAGTAATCGTAAAACAACTGATTCTGGTTGATAGTAAATAAAACTTCAAATAAAAAAAAATGCAGATCCGCAATCGATATAATACTTCTAAAGATTGGTGTCAATCATGTGATCCTCAGAGAATAATGCAAGGATGGACAAGTGGA